AGCAGCGATTGTCTCTATTCTTGACATTAATAATGGCATTTTTTCTTTTCAATACATTTGACAAATCAATGAAAGATCCATAACCCGCATTTAACGCGTCATATTTATTTATGCATATTGTTAAATTGCAATCAGTTTTTAACGCCCAACCGCTGCCTCGCTCGCTAAATTCGTCCATTCGTTGATATATCTGCTTCAGAAGACGTTGCAATGCTTCTTGGTGATCGGAAGCCTGAAGAATGGCGACATTTGAGGTGGTAAAATGTTTAAAGCTTTCTTCCTCAGAGACAGGTTGAACGTATTGGGCGGTAAATATGAGGTTGCATTTAATGGACTTTAGCCTTTTTAAAACGAACTTCCATTTGCGTAAAATTATGGGTTGGCAGGCACGTAGAAACTCCCTTGGATCAATGAATTTTTTATAATTTTCAATTATACCCGTTTGAATGCGACTCTCAAAAGCCGATTCTATCTGAAAAAATTAAACTTGGGTAAATAAAGCAAAATTTGTATTGTCCAAAACTTACGTCTTGATATGATAACGCAGCTCTCGTAGTTTTTGTTGTATGGCGATAACTTCCACCTTGCACGTTTCTTGATTTTCGATATAAATTTGCATTCTCACTTGTTGTTGATTGCAAAAGTTCTTCATTAATTTTTCGGTTATAGTAATAAAATTTTGTTAGTGTTCCTTCAATTTTTTGTAAAGCTCCTACCTTTTTAGCTAACTTTCCATTTCGATTTAATTTAATTTTTTAAATTTCGTTGCGTAGTTTTATATTTTTTAGATTTGATTTAAGCAATTGAGAGTAGTCTTCTCGGTTTAAGCAGTTATTAAAGCGTCGTATTACGGTGGTTAAAATATCGTCGTCCATTTTTTTTTATTATGCGAAGCAAACTTCAGCTCCAACGAGCGCCCCAAAACTCTTGATGCCTTTGAATATTAGCTTGACTCCTCCTTCTACAAGCTTTCGGAATTCTTCAGAGCTCATGTCTTTTAAATTGGTTGCAAAACGTTTTGGTAAAAATACCTGCTTATCAACAAGTTCTGCTACTAGGGCTTTGCCAAATCTAGTAGTCACCCACTTTAAACTGCTGATTTTATATTCTTCTTTTCTTTGAGACTCATGTGTATGATGTTTGCAATACATAGTGGTAGTACTAGGAGTTGTAGTTATAGTAAAGTAATTAGCAGTACTGGATACGTTGTAGATAAGAACTGATATTACGTTGAGTTTGGTCAATGAACGACTGGAGTATTTTTTACGTAGTAAATATAGATCAATGATTGATCCTTGATAATTGATTAAATTATTTAGATCTTTAAATATGAAAGCTGTTCTCTAAGATAAAAAAATCAAAAATTCAATCAAATTTGCTCTAGTTCTTATAATTTCAAATATACCGCTCGAGGATATGGATGAGTTTTATTGTTTCGTTTTGATATTACCTACTGATTATATCCAAGTTATTAAGCAATCGAATTGTAACACAAGAGGTATACACTGTTCAATAGTTAAGAACTTAATGAATTAAGTTTCTATACTTTTATACCCGACAACTACTTAATAATTTTCTTAACCAATCAAAAGGTTTGTTATTTTAACCAATCAAAAGTAAATCTTTTTTTTTTTTTCGCTTAAAATTTACGGATAAACAAGGATTTTGTGCATAGTTTACATGAGATTCAATGAAATTTTTAAGAGATTGTATATCAAAGCAATCAATTCTCATAAGAATTCATGTAATTGGAAACAAATTTATCTACAAGTATATGTTATGCAGTTGAAATAAGCAATATTACAACTATGCAAAACGAAAACAAAAGACTGCATTAAAGGGTACACACTTGAAATATTCAAACAATAAAACACATGTTACATTATCATCATCATCATCATCATCATCATTATCACAAATTTCTGCTTTTTCTTCCTCGTATTCTGTTTCTTCTGCTTCTTCGTCTTCTTTACTGGTTATTTGAAAAAGCGGTTGTTGGTAACCAAAACTGCACCCAAACTCAGTATTGCGACCGTAATTATGCAATTCGTTTACATGAGTTATTTCATACCCAGATCTTTGCACAATTAAAATTTGTCTTTATTATAATTTTAATTTAGTTAATTTATAACAAGAATAACACCGAATATCCCAATCGGGTATATAAATAAAAAGTATTCAAATTTTAATTCTGCATTTCGAGGATAAAAATCACTCCAATTCTTAAGTTGCAAAAGCATATAAACTTTACTCGCAACATACTCGTATGACCCACTAGCTTTAACCCGCGGCTTCGCTCGCGAATATCTAAAATAATGAAGTTGCTTCCGTACGCGTCTGTAGTCACAGAAGAACAATGAAGTAGAATGGCGGGAAGTTTAAAATGGCTGAAAGTATGTATAGTCTATGGTGTACAGTCTCCATAGTGTAGTCAATTGGATTTGATCTTGACGTAGCTGTCAGTAATACAGTGTGATAATACAGTGTGATGGTACTATAGTACTTAGGTTTGAGCTTCATTGCTAGAATGCTAGATGGCGTTAAAGTAGTCAAATAATCAGATGCAGAGGTATGATTGGCTAAACAATTTCTTTATTTTATTTAAAAAATAATTTTTTTATTAAATAAAAAGTAGCCTATAACCATTCGGGGACCACTAAGAATATGTGTACAAATTTTCATGATGATCGGTTAAGTAGTTTTTGCGTGAAAGTGTAACTAACATCAGGACTTTCGCATTTATAATATTAGTAGGGATTAGATAAGTCCGGACTTTCATTCATACATATCCAAAATTCAATATCATCGGGGATTCTATTAACCTCTTTAAAAATGTTTTCACATTTGCTGGCAACACGTTTCTATTTGAATGTGTATTCAAAGTTAAAAAATTATATGCAAATTTTTATATTTTTAGCATACCTTAATTAACATACGAATCAAAGGATCTGGTATTGTATTTTTCAAACTTAATGTTCCTTCGAGATAATTTCGACCCATCATCTTAAGAATTGATACAGTAGTGCAGCTTATGAGTGAGGCGTGAGAAAACATAATGTAAGATTAACTATACTACTGATTAATTAAGTTATATTTTAGTGATGATAGCGGTGGGTAGTTTTGAAAATAACAAAAATACAATCATGACATTTTCGTTACCAAAGTTGAATTTAAAGATTATGGTGTTAAATATATGCGTAAATCGTGGATTGTCGTATTACGGTTGAACAAGTCATTTCCTAGACCTTATCTGAAATTGAGGTTTAGCAAAATTAACATTTTAGTTGTGAAATTTCTCCAGTGCTGCAATAAGTCTGGATGTAATAGATAACTATTTAAAATTCTTGTTTTTCTTGTAAAATATCTGCTTAATGATGCCCTGATTAAGATGACATATTGAAAACAGCAGTACAATAACAAGAACAACCAGTAATTCAACTGAAAATACAATAAAACTGAAATTTTTTCATTTTAAAATCTACTTAAAAATTTAATAACATTTTCTTCTTCGCTCTCTTATTTTGTGTAGGTACTCTTGCAAAGACTCCGAAGCCTCATATTTGTCATTCTCCAGTGTGGGCATCAGAGTCTCATTTGTTTGCGCAGCTTCTAAAGTCTCAATTTTGTAATTCATTTCTATCTCATTTTTGAAGTTTTGAGCTACCTCTTGCGCGTACTCTGTTGTCTCAAGTTTGAACTCTTCTGCTGGTTCTGGCGTGTGCAGAGAATCATTTGTATTGTCTATAAATTAAACTTTATTAATGCTATTCAGACAACTACGTAATAATCGTTTAACTATATACCGTAGATGGAGGCTTGAACCAATACAATGACTATGTGTAATTGCTAATGATAACGTGCGTACACGGTTGTTAATGAGGAGCCAACGCCCAGCCGCTCTGAAAATGTATGTATTATATGCGAATTGATCTAACAAATAAAAAGTTGAGAGTTTTATTTCTATTTATTTTATTTATTTATTAAATACATTATAGTTTTACATTATAGTTCTCCTATTATAAATTACAATGCCCGCAAGCAAGACTGGATATACCATCTTCTAAAATACAACTTTTGTCGAAGAGTGTTGGATTGTTTAAAATAACATCATAGATGCTTTTGTCATAACAACGAATAGTTAGGCTGTCTGTATCAATGAATAGGAGTTTGCTTGCATTATTTGGATATATCGTTTTTATAAAATTATAATAAAAATTATAAATTAATGTTTTTGATATTTCAAGAATTGCAAAACCAACAAACAATGGTTTATTGCAATATACTTTAGTAGGATTTAGTTGGACTGCACAAAGATTTTCATCAAAGATTTTACAGCTATGAAAGTTAGGTTTACTGATTAGTGAATGTGCACCCTGTCTTTTCATATCATTTTCTCAATTTTTTACAAATTTAACAAGCTTTCGCTTAAATACATTTTCCATGATTTTACCAGAGATTGCGTTTATCATTAGCTTATAAAATGCTTTTTTAAATTCATTGGCTGCTGGTTGACGTAATTTTGTATTAAGTGTTATATATAACTTCAACCAATCTGATTGTTTAAACTTTAAAACTCTATTGATCCTGTGCAATTTTAGACCAAACGCTAGGGCTTGCTTTTTCTGTAATGTATAACATAATTTCGTTTGTTAATTATGTAATGTATCTGAATAGTCAATATCAACATCCAAAATATACCCGATCTCCGAATCATCAGCAACTTGAGAAACATCCAGATTTTGAAAATTTTCAGGCCATTCAAATTTGCCAATGGGTAAATACTGACTTTGAGCCCAGCCATATAAATTAACTGTATCTAAATAACATAAGTAACTACGCGGTTTTGAAACATCGTATAGTAGGGTAGACTGGGTCTAGTTGTGCCAGGGTACGGTAGTAACAGTCGTCATAATAACGAAACTATACGTCATACTGTGGAGGGTGCAAGAGGGTAAAGAAGCGGCGTGCAAGTTTGAACGCGTTCCCCCTAGTATTGCGTTAGTCATTGCGCGACGTTAACGTAAGTAAGAGCCCACATTGCTTTTTGACAGTCAAAAGTAAGTATTTTTGTACGATCTTAATAATTTGTTTTAAATTGAATATTGGTAGTTATTTAAAAGCATTTGCTTTTTACGTAGATTATTTGACAAAGTCATGGCAAATTTTTGTTTTCGAAAGAGAGGTTCGGGTACGGTTGTGACAAATTTTGAGGGTACGGTTGTGACATTATTATTATTTTTTCTTTTTTTGCTTTTAGATGCCCAGAAAGCGCTTGCGAAAGACTGAAAGAGCGCGATGTGACATCAGTAAATATGAATATGCTTATGATGAAGTGAAACGCGGAACTTCTTTACGAAGAGCTGCGGAAATACATGAAATTAATCGCATGTCGTTGCTGCGATACATTCGGAAACGCGATGAAGCCGGTGCTAATCAATGCGAAGGCAGGATCAGTATGGGATATGTTGCTCATAATAAAGTATTCTCAAACGAGCAAGAACAGCAGCTGACAAAATATATCACACGTTGCGCGGATATATATTTTGGCCTTTCCACAAAAGAAGTGCGGAAACTGGCATTTGAATTGTCAACAAAATACAACCTAAAGCGACCAACTACTTGGGTTGAAAATAAGATCGCTGGTGAGGAATGGTTCCGTTCATTCATGAACAGAAACCCTTCACTATCTGTACGTGTAGCTCAGGCTGCAAGCGTTTCGAGTGCAACCAGTTTTGATAAAACAAATGTGGAAGCTTTTTACAATAATTTGCAAACGGTTTTGGATAGACACCCATACGAGCCACAAAATATATATAACATTGATGAGACAGGTGTCACTACCGTGCAAAGACCTGATAAGGTCGTGGCAAGACGTGGCATAAGGCAAGTAGGAACTGTCACTTCAGCTGAACGTGGCACGTTAGTTACTGTTGCTTTTGCAGTCAATGCCTTAGGTAACGCAGTTCCTCCTTTTTTTGTATTCCCGAGAGTACCTTATCATGATCATTTTGTGAGAGATGGATCGGTGGGATCAATTGGAACTGCAAATCCTTCAGGTTGGATACAGGATGCCTCATTCTTAACATTTCTCGAACATTTTAAGAAATTCTCAAATGCTTCTCTAACACATAAAGTTTTTCTATTGCTGAATAATCATTCCTCTCACATTCATATTAATGCACTAGATTTTTGCAAAGAGAATGGCATTACTCTTCTATCATTTCCTCCGCACTGCTCGCATAAGCTGCAGCCATTAGACCGATCTGTCTTTGGACCACTTAAAAAGGCTATAAATACTGCTTGTGACGGATGGATGAGGAGTCACCCTGGCAAAACAATGTCTATTTACGACATTCCAGGTATTATCAAGACTGCTATGCCGCAGGCTTTCACACAAGCGAACATTCAGGCAGGTTTCAGCAAAACTGGTATTTATCCATTTAATCGAAATCTATTCCAAGAAATTGACTTTGCACCGTCTTTCGTAACGGATAGATCAAACCCTCACATTGAAGGTAACATTCCATCAACACCATCTACTGAAACCGACGTACAAAATCTTGATTCTGTAAAGAACAATCCGGAACTCAACAATCAGATGTTGCCACCTTTAGATTCTTCGATTCCAATTACAAACCAAATTCAGCCAATTGCATCAACCTCAGCTGCGCCGCCTGCTTTGCCGCCTAAAAGTTGCCGAATCCATTCGATTGCATCATCAGCCTCGCACGAAATTGTCCAGCAGATTCAGCCAGTTGCATCGACATCAGCCACACCGCCTGCTTCCATGCCAGAAATTGTCCAGATTCAGCCAAT